CCGTTGGGAACGTATTGCGTATTACGGAGCTGATTTCAACTGCCAGTGTGAAGGCAGCGTTAGGAGCCTATATGTAGCAGTGATCCACCTGTCAAATTTAATCAAAAATATCATTTGTGTTCTGAAGACGAACGAAGGTATTCATTTTTGGATGAACTAACCCTTTAATGTCAAGTAAAAACATTTTGTGTCTTTTCATACCTTCAAACTGTGTAATGAAATGGATATACGGCCTAGATGAGGTTACAAGGTTTTTCACAATCAAACCGCTGCATAATTGTTGATTGTGGCCTCAAGGCAGATTTTTATGGCTGTGTTTATGTTTGCTGTGGCGCGCTGCCATAAAAATAGTCTCTGACATTTCTCTCTGAAAATAAACCCATTTTCTTATTTTTCCCCCTCTGTATGTTAAATGAGTAGTGAGCATTAAGACTTGTGGAGAAATTTTGCAAGCTAATTATTTGAAAACAGTTTAAATCTAAAAATAAGTCTGTTTAATAGGTAGCTGTTGGTAGTTTGCTATTTTGAAATTCCATTTTGGCGAACTCTCAGCACTAATAATAAGTGCACTATATAGATTGAATCGAATTGCCCTGGTGCTTTGTTCTGGTAAACCAAAAAAATTATAATTTAATTGCAGATTGACAAAAAAAAAAAAAAAACATTTGCAATTAAACAAACATTTGACATGCTACATAGAGAAATTACTTTATAATGACAGGGTTCTGCTTGCTCTTGTAGAAGAGTTAGCAGATACCTTTAAGCCACTTGTGGTTAGTTAGTGAACACTGATTTTTACCTCAAAGTGATAGTTTATCCAAAAATGAGATGTCTGTCATCATTTACTCAACCTCATGTCATTCCAAACCTGTCTGACTTTCTTTTTTGTGCAAAAATATGTTTTTTTTCTGTTCCATACAATGAAAGTCATAGAATAATGACTTTTTTTGGGACCCCATTGAATTTTTTGAAAAAGATTCTTTAAAGTGAATTATTTTGTTTTTTCAACAGAAGAAAGGAAAGTTTGGAACGACATGAGGGTAAGTAAATGACTTAGGTGGACTTTTTAAAAAATGTACAAAATATTTTATGCAGCAGTATACTGTTGATCTATTTATATGAAAAGGAGGGACTTTGTGTCTGCTTAGTGGTTTTAGGGTTTACTCATAAGCCATTATTTTCTCAGCTTTCAGACTCATCGAAACTCTTTTTTACTCAGTCTCTAATGGAGCATTTGGCAGCTTTGCTTCACAAAGCTCTGCTGTTTTAACAGCCCCAAAACAAACTCATCAGAGAAAAATCCACCTCAGTGGTATGCTGAGATAATAACAGCTTGCCATGATCTGTCATGATCTGAAATACTTCAGCATATAGGGCTTTTCATACAAGCCATGCTACCGCTGTCAACCGAATCGACTGTGTACACAGCGCTCTGAAATATTGGAAAGTTTATCGCACTGAGCAAACCACTGCACATTCCATATCAGCCTATAAGTCTCTGTGAAAATGTTCCCTTTGTATCCAAAAAAAAAAAAAAAAAACATTTCAGAGACCTTTAGCAGCACTGGTCTTGCATGTCTAGAGTGACAGAATCATTGTTTTCTGACAGTCAGATCAGAGAATGGTTACTTTTTTGAGAAGAGAACATGAGGGAACATGATAAAATTAGATTACGCGGATATAGATGTGTCTCCACAAACTTCTACGACATTTCCAAGCAGTAACTTCAGGCAAGTTAATCCTTGTCTTGACAGAATTATGGATCCTCCCCATGCACCATCTGATCCAACTCTGATTATTCGAAGTGTTAATGGAAGTTCTTCGTATATTTTGAAGTGAAGGTGAAGGTGTTGACTCGTCCACCTTGCAAATCTTGTGGAAACTGATCGTAACTCTGTTCTGTTGATGAAGGTGGTCCCCTCAAGCTTTAAGTTAGCTTCCATGCTAGCATCTGTGGCTTGTGCTATTTGGCACAGGAAATTAAACAACTTAATGAACCCGCCAAAGTAGATATTGATTCTTATTAGAACCGCGTTGAATCAACAGAATTAAGGGGACTTCATGACCTAAGAGTTTATTCTTTTTGGTAATATTAGAATCCTGCAGGTCATTTTTTGGCACTGCTAACCAGCTCTGTGCTGCTTTGCCTTTGACATACAGTAATGCACTTTATATACAGTATACAGTCTGTGTTTATAAAACATTCCATAAAAGACAATGGAAATCACGTCTTCTCCCTGTGTTTGGGCAAGATCTGAAGGATTGCCTTTTGCTGTAACAGTATCTATACAAATCTTCAGGCTCTTAATTCACAACAATAACACTCAGACATCCAACATGCGTGAGGCTTGTGTCCGAGTTAAGTTGTTTATTTTGTCTCCTGTCATGAAAGAAGAAAAAAATTACACCCAAGCTAAATTATGAGCTCCTCTTATTCTAGTATGTATAAGAAAAACAAGGGGTTACTTTGTTACAGCTTAACGTGAGGCGAGTCTTTCTGTGAAGAGATGCAGCATGTTAGTTTAACAGATAAGTGATCCAGGTCTTGGTGCCAAACCTAAACAAATTCCATTTCAGACAGCTCACCTCTACAACTTGTCTCTATCTCGACCACAGTCATTTGAAATTTAGGGAAGGGCTCAAGGAGATTCAATTCATAGTTGTGGTTACTGGAATTTATAAAGCCTTGTGTTTCATCTAAGTGAAAAGATTGTCAGCTTTTCTGTATTCAGTGGTTAGTAATAATTATGTGTATATAAATATTTATATTGCACATTTATAAAATTATTTAATATTTAGTTTGGTATTCTGGAGAACTGTACATTTTTGGTATAGTGTATCAACATGTTATCAATTAAATGTCAAAGTAAACAAAAACATGCAGTACTTGAATGAAAGTTTTAACGTTTCAAAGTAAAAAGTATATTTTTCTTAGCTTTTGAAATTGATAGACAAAAAATTTCATGAACAAACAGTGCTATGTAAGCAATGTTTTAGTGTATTGACTTTCTTGAAGGTCTTTAGAATGCATCATATGAGAAAGATGCACACTATGTAACTTTTTTTCCTCTAGGGGTTAAAAACAAAACGTCATGCATTTTGTGGAAGAACATTGTTTTGGTTGTGCTTTGGATCTGTGCGGATGAAAATGGTTATCATACTGCTCATAAAAGATTCAGTAACAGGCTTAAGAGATAGAACCAGTTTAGACGAGTTTTAGCTGAAGACGTTACTGTAGCTATACACATTAATAGACACGGCACATCCTTAAAAATAAGTTCCAGCACAGCGCTACCACAACCCATAATGAAATGACCCTTCACAATAGACGTAAAGGCGTCATCTAACTGACACTTTTGACCATGCGTCTAAATTCGACGCACATGGCAACCTTTAAGGGGGTCGCTGTGCTTCTTGTCCGGTGTGCGACCCCCCCCCTTCAGCATCAGTTAGATGACGCGGGTCAGCGTCAGTTAGATGACGCAGATTAGGTCTGGGGTAGGGTTAGGGTTAGACCACTAGGAGACGCATCTCATATTGACGCTAAAGGGTGCCATGTGCGTCAGATGTTGACGCATGGTCAAAAGCATCAGTTAGATGACGACTTGGGATGAGAACGGGCTACAATAGATTAACAAATGACCATAGTTGCAGTGTCCATTTATAATTTAAATTTTACCTTTAGCTTGTTATTAGCTCATTAATATTTAATACATTTGTATTATTCACTCACATTATATATTTATTTTAATGAATGAATGAATGAATTTATTTATTTTAATGTTTAATAAAATTTTAGATGGTAGTAATAATAATAATGATTTAGATCATAATGACCATGCAGTCAAATTTTAAAGATCATTGTTGGATTTTTATCTTATAAATAGCTGAGTAAAAGTACATCTATTTAGTCTCTGTTTTTTTGTTGTAAACATTCACCAAAATATTACTTCATTACTACTTCAGGGATATGATGTAAAATGACTCATGTACATCACATCCATTCAAACATTGGCCTCTTCCCACCAGAGAGCCGTCTTAGCCATCCATTTTTATTTCAAATTCTGAATGCCACAAGAAAGTAGCTCAAATTGTAGCATCTCCCAAAAAAAGGGGAGATGTCATTGGCTTGGTTGATGATTGTTCATTCCAGTGTGGGATTTAGAGGGTTCAAACTGTTGCCAAATAGAATGAGTTATATCAGAGATTGCATATTTGATAACCTCTCTTTGAGTTGGAGCTAGCTCTGAGAAATGAACTTCAGGCTCTGAGAGCTTACTGAAAAGAAGAAGCCAGCAATGTTTCCACTGAAAGCCACTGTATGTGTTTTTATACAGTTGCAAAAAGAAACCCACAGTATAATGCAACATGTCTCGGGCTTCTCATTTTAAGATGAACAGTAATGTTGTGCTCATGGAAACTTGTTGAGAGAGATCAATTTAGAAAGGCTGTTTATTTTTCACAGACCCTACTGGGCAAAATTTACGTAGCACCTGGAGAAATACTGAGAAGGAGTAATTAAGCAAAGGGTAAAGTCCTCAGGAGAAAATTTGAGTGAGTGTGTTTGGCATGAGGTAGTGCTACATGCCACAAAAAAGACCTATTTCTTTACTGCACTGTGCAACCTGCCTTGATGTCTGGCACCATTTAATAGCATCTTTAGGCACAATTTTCCTGTGTGGGGTTATAAGCAGAAATTATGACTCATTGGATGTTGTTATGTAGCTATGATTCTCTGCTCGCAATGGCAACTGAAGAAGGTCTCTGGCATAAATATCTGATAAATCACAGTTACTTCTCCCAATGACTCATCAAATATGAAACTGGGAGTAGCATATTATGCATGTGCTCTGACGTGTACGCTAACCAAACTTTGATTATGAGAATTTTTCATTTGTGCGTCATATCCACATACTTGAAATACTTAAGAGTTATACAGAAAAACTACAACAACATGCATGTCATTTAATATTTTCTTCTTATTCTTTCTTGCTCAGCAGGTCAGTGAGAACCAGAGAGTGGACCCTCTTGGATCATGGATGGATTTTGTGAAGAGGCCTGTGGGCAATTTTCCCGGAAAATGTCGAAAACGAAAACGGCCACTGGTGAGGAAGTCTTTACAATCACATATTATCAAATGTCACAGTCATAACTGACAGTAACACATGAGACAAAGCTGAAATTGCGGAAAAAAAGAGTGGAATTTTCATTCACCGTAAATTCTTGTAAATAAAAATAAAAATAAAAATAAAAATCAATATGAGAAAGTTAAGTTACATTTTTTTATTGAACATATAGTCTTTTTGCCAATTCACTTACAGTGTTGGTTTTAGGGGATGTGCATGCTTTTTTGTACTTTAGTAAAAACGTTTTGCTTGTTGCTTACAAACATGATGTACTCACTGTAAGACATTGCATATATTTTGTGAGTGCCAATTAATAAAAACAGTAGCTGGAGACTAATCGTTAGGTGACTTAACAAGCACAATTGCAGACATATCACACTTCAGAAATGCTGAGTTTGTCATTTTGAGTTATTCCTTAAACCTGACTCAGCCATTATTTTCGAGAATCAGTCAACCGCTTTTGATTCACTAAAAAGAACTGGCTCATTCGCTTGGGAATTGAACTAAAACTGTTGCTTGATGTAGATTCAGTAGCGATGTTGCGGTAGGAAGTCAGAGTAATTTGATTCTGTCCACATATACATGTGCGAGAACCATTAATGGAGCCGAAAGTCATTCAGTGCAGATATCTTTTCTTTTAATGAGTGAGAATTAACTTTTAATGAATAATTTATCTCTACCAGAGAATTTGTAATGTATTGCATAATACATTGCTTAATACATTTCAAGTTTTAACACGTCATTACATAAAGTGAGATGCTCTTTTGAGAATTGATGAGGTTGAATTAAAATTATACAACAATTATATTTTTTTGACTATCAGCCTGGTCCCCCGGGCCCTCCTGGTCCTCCGGGGCCTCAGGGACCCCCAGGATCCCCTGGGGCCGAGGTCACTCAAGAAGTCTTGCTGCAAGAGTTCAAAGAACTGATCAGAGGTGAGGACCCACAATACATGTAAATCTCACCAAATGACCGTCATGTTTCAGATTTGTAATCAAGGGGCTATCATGCAGATTAGCCGGACATTAGCACAGACACTCAGTGATGAGGTGTCTAACTGCGTGCAGTGATGTGTCTACTTGTGATCTGCTTGAACAGAGGCCACAGAGCGGCGAGCTGCAGTGGATAGGCCCAATGAACCCAGTCAGCTGCCCACGGCTCTGATTACTCTTGAGGGAATGACCTCCTACAGGAGAATTGAGGAAGCCTTTCACTGCAAACTCAAAGGCCCTGTCATTGTGGACAAAAAGACTCTGGCAGAGTTACAGAACTTTCAGACAGTAAGTGCCTGCAAGGTCCAAAACTTTTTGCAACATCAGCCAAAGATGGGTGAATCGAGTACATTTATTGGCCAAAAATGTTTGGTACAGGGCAAAGCAACTGCATAGAAATGGGAATTGTACATTTTGAAAAATGTGTGTTTGAAATGAATTTTTCACAGTCTTTTTAGAGATGGCATAAATGCATGGTAAGAAAAATTATGTGTCACATGAAAAACCTGTCAGTAGCTATGCTAATTTAAAGGCACAATATGTAAGATTTTTTTATTAAAATATCCAAAAACCACTAGAACAATGTTATATGTTTTGTCGACTTGTGTACTTGTGTAACAATGTTTAAATCCAGAGAAATTAGCTATTTTAACCTATGTAACGGCCCATGTCATTGCGTCACCACGCATATCCACGTTACCCTCGATTTACGGTTTTACTTTCATAGAAACCATGGAAACACCAAATAAGTTTTAATATATATTTCGCGTTTTAGACAGGTGAGCAACTGTTTGGATACCTTTACCGACAGAAAACGAATTATTGTTATATAGCTCAACACGGTTAGTTTTAATGTTTAAATCTCTTGTTTTCTTGATTTACCACGCCTCAGAGACAACACTATTCAGTTAAGTGGCTAACATAATATATCAAGAGCTTTATTTGTAATACAGCATTTTCTCTACCATACAATATTATTTCAAATTTAGCAACACAAGTCATCCAGCATGTATTAATATTAAATTCTAATACTGATCTAGCTTACTGGATTGTGTGTCTCGTTGTAGACACCGATCGAACACACAGAGTAACGTTAACATAACATTCAACAAATTGGATTGTTTTGACCATGTAAAACACAATTTTGTCAAATAGAGCGGCCTGTATGAGTAGTAATTTGAGAACATTATTAAAGATTAGATAACTGTGAACGAACAGTCTATTAATGTTACTAGATAAATGTGAGATTTTTAAAAATCATTTTAATCAACCATGTTCAACATTGTTCTCTCTTCTTCTTCTTTGTCTTTTGCTTACTGTTCTATCCCCACCACAAATGATTTAATCACAATTAGGTTTATATATAGATCTTTAATATCAAACAAAGAAGAAAAAAAATATATTGAGCATATTAGTGTTGACAGCCCAAACAAAAGAAGGAAACAATGTGTTACAAAACTAAGGAGCAGAAAATTTACACTAATGCCACTTCGAGTGAGCATTCCAGTGATTTAGAAACAGTCATTTACAGTAAATGATACGATTTCCAAAGTGCACATGTGATCGTCTCTTTGTGGTAGCGGGTTCAGCCTTCGCCAGAACGTAAAAAAATCCAGTCTGTTGCAAATAATTTCAAATTGGTTTATTTTGTCATCGTTCCATTTGGCTTCTTCGCTGTGACAGTTTTACAGAATACTAAACACCAATTCGAAACGCTTCCAACATGTCTGCGTTCAAACTGAAATGTATAATTTATGCATCAAACTGAATGGCAAAAACTCAGTTTGGTGAAGCTGTCTGCCATTGGTCAATAAAAAAGATAGCCCCACCCATTCAGCTTTAATTACACAGCTGAATTAAAGACACATGTGAGAGTAACCTTATGATTGGCTCTTGTCATATGAACAACGGTGACGACATACTGAATTGGCCGAAAGTTTACTCACGTTTACCCTCCTCCTAACAAATGTATCCTTTTTCAAATACATTGCTTTCTTGGTGGTGTACAAAAGGTGCTCTGTGTGAGGTTTTGGGCCAGTGAGAGGTGTGTATAAAAATAGACACCACCATTTAAGCAGCTTTACCCTGTGGCATTCTGATCAGCCAAGGACACACACTAAAATCCATGTTATTTGTTAACCGTTCTATACAGCAGCTACGGGAAAAAATTCCATTGATTAATGCAGACAAGATTCACTCTAAGCTAATTTAAACTTTCCATATTAGAGAAATTCATCTCTCAAATCTGTCAAATGGATGAAATAACTGTTGCAAATGTCAATGCAAAGTTTTATCCATCCACATGTCAAATGAATTCACGTTCTTCTCACATATCTGTTTGGATCGGACATGTATGAAAGGCATTCATTGTGTGTGTTCAAAGCTGACAGCACACACACACACACACACACACACACACAGTGTTTAGCACACTAATCGGAGGACTCATTATAAAAGCGTCTGAGTCTGGAACTCTTGGTGGGTTCTGGAGGCGTAATGCAGAATAATGTGGTCTGGCATGGCTGCAGTGCGCAGTTATGATCAAAAACAGAATCGGAGGATTCTTGGCAGATGTCTACATATTTCTAGCCATTTAATGGTTATGTGCTCCCAAACTGAGCCCTAAAACTGGTATATTTTATAATGCTGTATGTGGGATGCTTTGATTTGCATGTGAGTTTATAAGAGCAACAATTCTGCTGAAAAACATATTCTTGAGATGCTTGGAAGGCTAGTCAGCAATTTACGTATCGGATTTTCAGATAGAGAGTGAGCGGTGTTGATGTTGTTTGAGAAAAGGTTATTAGGTGTGTTTATGGTAAGCCCTCTATAATTCTCACCTGTTTCATACCTTCAGCCTCCTGCCAAAGGTGCCTTCCTCAGAGGGACGGGGATGGATCAGTCCACTGGCCGATTTACAGCTCCTGTAACTGGAATTTATCAGTTTTCTGCCAATGTTCATATTGGTAAGGAAAGGTTGAAAGGTTCATATCACCCAGTAAATATTCTGTCTTTATTAATCTTTTGTTTTTTTTTTTGCCAGTTTCAGTGTGAGACATGAGGTTTTGGGGTATTATAATGATTAGCAGTTTGATTAATGATAATCATGCATCATTTGTTCTTAAAGATTAAACAGAAGAACATGGGAGCGATTATCATGGATGAACTACTAAAATGTTGACAATTTACAGTGATTTTAAGGTATATTTAGTTACGGATGATACACCATATGGATATACCAGTATACTTTAAAATAATAATATATTATTATATTTCGGTTACATTTTTTTTTTTTAAATAAGTCTCTTATGCTCACCAAGGCTGTTTTATATATTTTATATATTAATATATTTATTTTTTTCCGGTTTTTAGGATCACATGATACTTCAAATATTATTCTAAAATAAATTCAGTGTGAAATATTTTTTATTGTTATTAGTTTTGTGGAAACTGATATTTACCGAATATATTACAGAATTTCCACAAAAGTGTGAATTTCTTTTTTATGCTGAACACAAAAGAAGATATTTTGATGAATATGGGTAAAAAATAACTGTTGATGAGCCCCATTGACGTCCATATATAGTATTTTTGTTTCCATATCATGGAAGCCAATGAGGCCCGTCAATGGTTTTGGCTACCCATATTCTTCAAAAATATCTTCTTTTGTGTTCAGCAGAAGAAACAAATTCATACAGGTTTGGAACAACTTGAAGTTGAGTAAGTGCTGACAAAATTGTCCTTTTTGGGCGAGCTATCCCTTTGATGCATCTTTGAGTATTAATTTCTAAAAAAAAAAAAAAAAAAAAGCTTACCTTACCTTAACCAAACCTTGTGAACAGTATGATGGATATGGATATGGAAAAAAGCGTCTAAAAAATGTTTACATTGAAATGACTTTGGATAGAGGCTTTATCTGCCAAACCATAAGAAAGATTAATGGAAAATTCTGTTTCTCGGCTATAAACACGAATTGCATTGAGTACAAATTAATATTTCACTGTCATCTCTATCAGAAGGTGCCATCATATAATGGATGTGTTTCAGACTTGGCACATTCTCAACAGATGGATTGCATTCCCTTGAAACTTACATTCCAACCGTTCTGCATTTGTTTGCTGAGATTGAGGGTGTCTTGCACAATCTCGCATGCTTAAAAAGCTAAAGAAAAAAAAATGCTGTGCCTGAAAGCGCACACTCGTATTTTGTTTTTGTTGCTTGATGCTTTAAAAAAAGGGTCCAGTGATCCTGTTGACTTCATCCATGGTTTCAGAGGCAATGCTTATGTGGAGTTACACTGAAATAAGCCCCAGGGACCCTGAATGCAAAACTCTTCTAAGCTGTGGCGCCAACATGCATCTCCGGGAAAAGAAATTGGCTCTCTGCAGTAGACTGTGGCAGAAAATCAACATCCCCAAACAAATTCACAAATCCACTGCAGACTTATAGAAGAGACCAATATTTAGACGCGGCTGGAGGTCAAACATGACTGGCTGTGGCATCATGTGCTCCAGATACAAAACTCTGTCAAACAACATTTCGACAGCCTTTACTCTTCATACAACAGTTTGTAGTGCATGTCTGAAGAAAATATACATATTTTTTTTTGTCATTTGTGTTCTTTCTTGCAGACCACACTGAGGTGAAGAGAAGTAAGAACCAGCTGAGAGCCAGAGACAATGTCCGAGTTTTGATCTGCATTGAATCCCTCTGCCATAGATATACGTAAGTTTGGTCACATTTCTCACATTAAAAGGATAGTTCACCTAAAATTTTAAATTCTAACATCATTAACTCACCCTCATGTCATTCTACTGTGAAAAACAAAAGAAAATGTTTTGTTTGTTAGTTTTATATACTTTTTCACGCAATTACAATAAATAGAGACTGAAGCTTTTAAGCTTAAAAAAATGATACCCCTATAAAAGTATTAATAAAAGGGTCCATACAACTTGTGCGCTATATAACAAGACTTGTGAAGATATATTTGTTGACAAAAAGACTAAAATTTTAATCTTGACATCTGGCCTGACTGTTGAGAGAAGCGGCCATGTTGGATTAATGAATGACTCATTCAAACTTTATGTAGAGTAATTAACTCTTTACCGTTCTATATTAATGCGCTGTTATTGAAGCGGACATACACATATGTCACTCCACTTTGCATCAGGTGGTTCTTTGCCCCCACTTCATGCATTAAAATAATTTAATGTACAGCTAGCATACACATTGCATGTTCAGTTATTCATACATCAAAATATTCTGGGGGCCCTGAATTTTTTGCAAAAAATAACCAAAAACGCTGGCAGGGAAATCGTTAATGTGCTCAAATTCTAGTGTGTATCTGACTGGCCACACAAAGTGTCTTGTGAGTTTTGGTGATATCAGAACTTTCAGGCAGACTAAGTGTCAGTTCTGGATAGCAAAACTATCCAGGAGAAAATCTGACACCAGCAATTTTGCAAGGAAAGTTATTATGATTACATGATGTCTAATTTACCCTCAAGTGGTCTATTTATTAACACTCGATTTTGTGCCCGTTGTCCACAGACCACATCCACATCAATATAAATTCATGACTCAGACTCAGAGGAATACATCGCTTATGATGAAAATTAGTATTTTTCTTGAGCTTCTTTTTACATTCATTGCATGTGGTTTTTATTTCAGTGGCTTAAGCGTGTGAGTGCATGTCATAAAAATCCTTTCACAAATCAAACAAAAATGAATTTACTTGAAAGAGAAAAAAAGACTAAGTACTAAGTAACGGGGTATACATGAGATGGAGAAGGGGGAACGGGGGTGGCAGATCTGGATAAACTCTCTTCCAGTGTTTGCTGGTCGTTAGCGGGTTTTTTTTTTGCGCTTTGTGAGTAACGCATGGGCTGTAAAGCATGTTGTCTGTTCAAACTTGTGTGGAAACCAGCAAGGCATTTCCTGTGTTAAAGTGAAGCAGGCCTTTAAAAAATGTCCTCTCACCTTCAGTCTGGTCCTTGTCACCTTAGTAACCTTTACCGCCACCTTTGACTCGTGGGGTCCCTGTTGGTCTTAGCAGATAAATCTTTAAATTTATTGCTTGATAGATCTAGGATATGATAGGAAATAATGCATTTTTTAGGAATTAGTCATTTTTATCAATGTATTTTTATAACAAAATATAAATTTATATTTTTTTGAATAACTTTAAAACTGTGCCATGACTTACACAAAACATCTGTCAGCAAAAATATGATGGCATTATTTCCCAATTATACTATATCTTTTGCATATAAAATAAAAAAAATAAAAGATTAAATAAAAAAATGATTAAAGGTGCATTGTGCAACATTTCATGTTAAAAATACCTTTTCTAACCCATAAATGCTTAAACAATTGCCTGATGGGCTGATGTGCATTAATCCTGTCCAGTAAAATAAATAAGAGAGATTCGGGACGGAATTTCAGACTAAGAGTGACGTCATGAGCGTTCCCGCTCACCTGGCTATGTCTGGCAGGTTTGTGTATTCGCCGCCATTCTCCGTATCAGCGAAGACAACTCAAGCGACAAAAGTTTAGTCAACTTTCAACAAAAGTAGAAGATGGATTCAAAGAGACCAGCTTGTAGTTCATTCCAAACCCCAACGCGAACTCCACCTAAGACAAAGAAAATAAAACTTCTGTCTAGTGGCAGGCGTCGGAATAAGACGAGAGTCAACATTGGGAAGGCTTTCAACAAATGGAGAGATCTCCGGTCTGCTCTAGGGCTCAAACGGGATTCTATACAAAGTAATAACTTGTATTGTGTTTCCATAATAATACAATCATAAGTGGATACAGTAAGCACATAAAACAGTTCAACATGGAGATAGATGGAAACAAAAACTGAAGTTTTCTACTACCCCCGTTTCCCCCTCACACATAAGCGTGTAATTTACTCAAATGCCTTTCCTTTTATACATTTAAAATGACTTGCAGATTTATAACTTTATTACCTCTGAAGACATTATGACAGTAACAAAAGATTTGTGCGGTTGATGCTGCTTTGGTAATATGAACAGCTTGTGCAAGCGTGCGTGTGGTCCATAAGCGTGCACACCTCTGGTTACAGTTTCGCTTGTCGCCAGAGGGGGCATAGTTCTGCAAAAACTCATAGACTTGCGCAATGCACCTTTAGATTAAATTATGGCACTATGGCCTAACCAATGCAGTTCTTTCTAATTTTGGACATGAGAATCTGTGGAGGAATCTGTTTCAAGTGGAGGAATTGAAAAGAGCTGGTTCAGTGATCAGAATGATTTAATGATCTCACAAACATTTCACTCAGAAATTGCTAGTAAATATCAAAAGACAAATACAAAATTAATGGAAACACATTTTATTGATTTGTGAAGTCTACAAATGAATCATTTGTTCACTCATAATATTTCTACCGTTGTGCAGATCCTTGGAAATGATTGTTGGCCTTGAGAGTAACAGCAAGATCTTTACAGTATCTGTCCATGGACTGCTGGAACTTCAGGTAAGAGTTAAACACACTCCACTCAGTTTAATGCAGTTTCACTGTATCTTCATAATAAAAATCTAGTGTTTCTACTGCTGTTTACTCGGTTTCTGGCGCTGAACTCTTAAAAAAAGCTAGTTAAGACAACAAAATTGATTCATTAAATGATAAGCTATTTCCTCACAAAAGCAGTTTATTCACTCTAATCAATGCTGGGTTGTTTTAACCCAAATTTGTATCAAATATGGACAAACCCAATGTTGGGTTAAAAAAACAACTTCAGCTTTCACTTTTAACTGTAATTTTTTTAATTATATTTTTAATCCAACATTTGGGTTTGTCCATATTTTATCCAAATTTGGGTTGAAACAACCCAGCATTTTTTTAGAGTGTTCAGTGTAGTGAAGCCTCTTCCCCATTGACATCCATTAAAAAAAACCAGCCTCTGGTCTCCTGCGCACCGGCGCAGAGTCAGCATTATCCGTTACGGTTTGTTGGCTAAAGGTTGCGGGTTTGCCTTCTATGCATTTGGTGGCCCTCTAAGGCCACGTTTACACAAAGCCGGGTATTTAGCGAAACGAATATTTTCCCCCTCTCCATGACATCGTTCACACGCCCGCATAAATATGCCGTCGAGCGCCATCATAACTATGCCAAACCTATTGGCGGCAGTGTAGGGGTTAAGGATAAAGCCATGCAAGCCAATCAGAATCGACAAGAGAGAACCTAAAACCCCGTTTCTCCCAGTTCACACGACAACACATAACCAGCGTTTTCAGAAATCTCCACTTTGTCCGGAGTTTTTTAGAAATAATCGTTTTTCTGTGATAAAAACGGGGTTTTCGTGTAAACGAGAGGCCAATCCGCAGGGAAATCTCCAAAATATCTAACTGAATAACCTTTTTTTATCCATTTCCATGAAATTGTAGATTAAAATGTGTTGCAGATGGCAATTCACATTGAATAAATATTGTGATGTTTTCTTTCAAACAGGCCGGGCAGTACACCTCCATATTTGTGGACAATGCAGCTGGAGCATCGATCACAATACAGAACGGCTCAGATTTCATGGGCATGTTGTTGGGGGTATAGCCTTGTTTTACAGCCAGACTATATCTGGCAGGCCACAAAAGACTGCATTGCTTCTCTTCGGACTATCTCCCAGCACCATATATCCTCATGAGACAATATTTGACTGCCACAAAGCTCTTGATTTGTTCATGGAAGAGACATGGACATATTAATACCCACAAAGCAGAGACAGTTGGATGCAAAACTGAAAGACTTTACAGAGGATTCACAGTGAGGTTTTTACCTCTTCAGAAAGATAATTTCTCACTGTTTTTACTCTCTTATTTTGTGATATATAGATGTATACAAAGAGATTTTTGTACTTTGACATTGTGTTATGCCCTTCTTAACAAATAGTGTTTATATACAGAGTGTTTATTTACACGACTTGTTTTCTACGATGAGAGGTTTCCTACAATACAAGAGCTAATTTGGATTTATCTTAAGGAATTTATGATCTTTTGGAGTTGTTACCCAAAATACACACATACGTTTATACATTCATGCCTGTATTTTTTAATATATATAACAAGCCTGACAGTTTTTATTTACTATGCAGCTCCAAAAAGTATGTTGTAGTGACTTGATTATTGATAAAAGAACAGATTTTCCATTATACTCGGCCAAAAGAAGGAAACAGCCAAATATGAGAAAAGAAACAAGATGGATGACTCAGTCTATTTTTACGTTCAATCGCTAACAGTCCCAAACAATAGCGTTTATCCGAGCGTGTGTGTTTGTGAGTGTGTGTTTGGAAAGCTGCTGCCATGATCGATTAGACATGTTAAGAGTCCTGCTGAGTTTTCGTTTTGTTTACCGCAATGCCAAATACGTCATCCGAATGCTCTGTTTTTCACGTTGCCATGGAAGTTTATTCTTTGAGATGTGTTGCTCTTCTACCTTTTTTCCAAATGTCTTCTATTTTATTCACTTCAGTAAATCCAGAAATTAAGATGCACATATACTGTACGTATATTAGCATATTTGCCATACAAATTATTTATGTTTAAATGTATCTGCCAATTAAAATAGATTTATTTTTTTAATTGGCGTCCAGCCTTCCAGTAGATCTCAATACAAGTGAAAATAATGTAGCTAAGCAGACCTGTTTAAACATACAGTATTTGCTTGTATTGTGGTGTAATGGAAATGAAAGTATATTCAATAAATGTAAAATATATCTATTCACCTGGGCCTGCTTGCGGTTGACTCCAAATGACTTTTATGAGCTTTGAAATCTTGCTAACGTTCGTAATTCTCTGCTCGATAAAGCAGGCAGCACGTAGACCTACTCCCGGTGCTGCACGAAGAAGCTCATGGAAAATATTCTTTGCTGCGGTAGTGTGGAAAATGCTTCTTTGCATCATTTGCATTGTAAATAATCCAGAATACCTCAAATACCTTGGCAAATAAGAGCAAGTCTGACAGACTGATGGTGGCATGGCACCTGGGCACACTGAAGAGTGATCTCTGAAAAATCAAATCATTTAAGTGTCATTTAACCTTGTCATCAAGTGTCATTTAGAACGTCACATCCAAAAAGACATTCACAGTTGCACAGATACTCAAGGTTTCTTCTACAAGACATGTGGTTTCGTAGGAGCCACTGCGCCTTCAAGCCTCATCTTTAATCAGGTGGCCGTTTTGTTTTTCTTGTCTACTTAATGCTCTGGTGTGGATATCGAGATCTTTCATTTTAAGCCAAAACCACAGTAATACAAAACATTGTTATTATTCTGCTGAAGTATTTTAGTTTTATTTATATATTATCATAGTTTTCATTTACACTGTTAATTAGGCTATATAGGCTACTTAATATAGTTAAACAAAATTGTGCTTTTTAAATATTTCTAAATTTCTTTTATTTTTATTTTATTTTATTTAGTAATTTACTTCTACTTCTTTCTGTTACATGCGCAAAAAATTGCGATCTCCCAACTACTTCAGTTCAGTTCTTGCGCATGCGTAGTGGAAATCTCAGGCCCATAAGAAAGAAGAGGAATAGTCGAATAAAGTCGTTATTTTTTGTTTGTTTTTTCGTACAAAAAGTATTCTTGTCGCTTGATAAACTTATAGTTGAGTCACTGTAGTCACATGGAATTTTTAAACATTTTCTTCATTGACTTTCTGGGCCGTTAAGTTTCGATCCCTTAATTAGGCAGCATGTGGCAGTGAACCACGTCTCAAATTTAATCAAAAATATCTTCATTTGTGTTCCGAAGATGAACGAAGGTCTTACGGGGTTGGTACAGCATGGGGGTGAGTAATGACTTAATTTTCATTTTTGGGTGAACTAACCCTTCAAGGATCACAACATTGGTCTGATGTAACGATTTAGATTCATATGGTGAAAAGTAACTAGTATACAACAGCCAATCTAAGGGTTCATCAAAATGTATCCCACCTCTTCGATTGTGCACACAAGACTGTATTTTGTGTTTTTAAAGTCTACCACACTGCTTCAAGCACATTTTACTATCTCAATAATTGATAAACAACAGATTTTTTCATGATGCTTAGCCAACAGAAACGACCAAGTAAGTGATGATGATTAAGTATTTTTGTGTCCAAGTCTGTAACAGTTTTGCAACAGCTTGACTAAATTAAGCCCTTATTATGTCAGAATGTACACATAAAAGACTCCTAACACTTGTGACAATTTTGCACCACTTTTCTTTGCACTTAGATAATAATTGAAACCTGAGTGCTAGTTACACAGTGTCTGCAGGTAATCTCTTTCAGCTGTTATCATTATCAGCATGAACCCGCACAGTAGCTGCGGTACATCTGAACATTCCCACATTGACTTCAACACTCCTAAACAGAAACAGACTCTTTTGCAAAATTAAGTTCATTAATCATTATTTGGAGGAGAAAATTATGAATAAACAATACGATTATAATATTTCAACATTATAGCCTACTGTATAAATTACAAGGACTTCCCCTGCTATGATATGAAGAGTTCAGATGCAAAAGCCTCTAAATGCCATTTGAAATTTTCTTCTTTAATGATGATTTTTGTCAAACTTGTATATTTAAGTTCAGTGATTTCACTTAAATGGCAATGATAATTACCTATTAAATGTTATTTAAGTGAAATTACTGGAGTTAAATCTACAAGTTTGACAAAAATCATCATTAAAGAAGAAAATTTCAAATGGCATTTAGAGGCTTTTGCATCCGAACTCCTCATATATTGATCATCATAAATTCAACAATGGGCACGGAAAAAACGACAAAAAATGAGATCTGGTGTTTTGAAAAGTGTCAAATTCATAATGTTGCTGTTTGTGTGGTCCATATATTTATGAAAATATCAGTAAGGGGTGTAACGGCTGTCGAAAGTTTGGTGTATTTTAATGAGGTTGTATTATGTGCATGTAAATATTACAACAACACACATCTATAAAAACCCATGCTACAAGAGTCCTTGTGAAAACTGCAGCTTTTTTCATTCTTGAACAAGACTGTTTAATATATGTAAGTGAGTTATGTTCTAGACGAGATTTCTAGACATGACTTTTTCAGTCAAATGTTTGAAAACAGACAGCTAAACTCCTTCACAATTATCTTGTAGATTTATACTGCGGTTATTGGAACATGTGCTTTTAAAAACGAACTGTGCTTTGCCTGGCATGAAAACTCTTGGCTGAAGGGCTGTGTGGCCATTCTCTTTGAATAACATTAATTGGAGCACTGAAACATGTGGTTAAGGACACTAATGTTGCTGTGTACATTTAAAGAGAAATAATCAAGTCTTTTAACTCTTTTATAAGCTGTGAGAATCGACTGAGATAAAACAGGAGAGTTTAGTGTGGGAATGCAAGTGCACATTAAAACTGAATATAGGAGTATCTCTTCAACACTTTTATGTTTGAGACGAGGTTTGATTTTTATAATCATTCATAACATATTTCAGCTTCTTTCCTTTTGTTAAATGAGGGTCATAGTATATTTTCCTTTGAAACTTTTTCCTTTATTTATTTTTTACTACTTTTCCATTATTTCTGCACTATTTTATTCTTTAACCCAGACTACCAATCTCCAAACTATGAAAATCCATTACATATTATTATATATTTAATATTACACATTTAAGACAATAATCATTTGAATAAAATATTACACATAAAACATTACAATATTTATTTTTTGAAAATAATTTGTATTAATATTAAAATACTAAAATACATTCTTCTCCGAAACGCAATATAATTTCCATCAGAGAATATTGGCAAACACAATATATTAATTGAGATGTGATAGAAATGTTCATAAAAAAAAAAGATTATTCTGCAATTTATGTTCATTGTTAGAAATTTCTTAGAAAACAAAACAAAAAAAAACAAACAAGATTTTTATTCATGAAATAGCAGCACTATTAGCCAAAAGCATTAATTAAGTGTTCTATTGTTTAAATCTTTGAATTTGCAGTGGTATTATATTAATATGTAATCGATCCCTTGCTTCTAAGTTCTTCTTCTTGCAAATTGCTAATAATTCTCAAATGACTATCACTGCAAAGTTTTTTTTTTTTAAATCTTTTTTTGCTGTTATGTTATGTTGTTTTAAATATGTTTAATGACAGCTGCGAGCATGCTTCAACTCATACACCGTATAGTGCGGAGCGCTCAGAGCCTGCCAAGGCAGTTGCGAAACCACCTTGCACCACAAACTCTCTGACAGGAATTTCCCATTGCCCCATTATCAGCATCAGACAAGCTGAGTGATCCCAATTACCTCTTGCCCAAATGCTAAGAGCAACTATTCTTTTTTTTTCCAGAGAGGAGAGTGAACGTTTATGAATGGTCCCATTGTGAATGTGAAGTTTCCTTGTTCACTGAGCACTGTATAAACAATCACAGCATATGGCTGTAGCCTATTTTAATTAATAGATTCCTCATCCACAACAAGAGGACAGGTAGGGAGATAACAGCACAGACTCGTAGGGATTGACTCCAGAGATAAAATGAGGCACCGTTAGATGCTTAACAGGCTTCCTCTTCACAAATCTATGCCTTCATTGTTGTACTGTAAAAAGCTAAAAAAAAAAAACGTCCCTTAACAAGATAATAACAGCATGCTTTTCAAATCCATTCAGAAAATGTCACAGCTAGGCCTTTCAAAATATTGTGACTTTATATATTAAAGTTTTACTATACTACTGTTCTAGATTTTGTATTGGTATGGGGTTGGTATGATTTGAAATATCTTATGTTCGCCGAGGATGCATATTGATACAGTAAAAACAATAGGCTAATAGTGTGAAACAACGGTTTTCTATTTTAATAGGCCTATTTTTTATTAAAAGTCAGATGTAAATTTAAACTAAATTGAATGAAATAAAAAGCACATGTACTTGGAAGATCACTCTTTACTGACACTGATATGAGAGGCATGAAATATGAAATCTTAAGCATATCACATTATCTAAGATTTTTTCGCCACAAGAGGGCGCAGTTCCCAACAATAACAAAGGCGTGGGTTGATGACGCAGTGATGAGCTGAATGATGGGACTTGCTAATGGATCTAAATATATATGAATGATTGTGAGTGTGAGTATTGTCATAGAAAAAAATTGCCCCAGCTACTTTGACTCGTGTATGTTGTGGGTCAGTTGTCACAAGGAGTGGGAAAGTTTTACATGCCACTAAAACCTCCGGGGAATCCCACGTTTTAAAAAAGCGCCGAACAGAGGAGAGGGCTGGTAAAAAATATCGACAATACTCGTAATAAAATGAGATTCACCTCTCAGAGATGTCGAGAACTGAGGGATTTGAACGGTTGTGGCGACACGTGCGGACGCTGTTTTTTATTGCTACAGGTGAGTAAGGTATTTTTATTGAACAGATAAATTGCCAGATGTAGTTCTCTACCATAGTCTATTGTGAAGCATTATCTATTGTGAATGGTCATTTCATTATGGGTTGTTGTAGCACTGTGTTTGAAATTTTTTTAAAGGATGTAGGTTACTGTGTCAAATGGGTAACGTTAGCCATAGCTAACGTTACAATGTCTTCAGCTAGTCTACCTGAGATCCTTTCCAAATTCCATCTAAACTGGTTCTATCTTTTAAGCCAGAAGTGAATGTTTCATGAGCAGTAGGCTATAAATCTCTCTCCTTTTTTAGGTATGAGAAAGAACAATTTACTTTTTCTTCAAGCAAAACACATTTTCCTCTTGC